CCAGGTTGTTGGTTCCCAGTTGTTCCTGAATCAGAATATGATCCTGCTGATTGATCGGATTCCTCTTCTGCATCAGAATCTTCCCAGTCTTCATCACTTCCTTCCCAAACCAACTTGGTTTGTTCTGGAGGTGAGTCTGAGTTCCAACTCCATCCCTTTGTTTCATCAAACACCACATCTCTACTCACCACTACAACATTAGTTCTAGGATTATATAACTTGTATGCCTTGGATTCAACATAAATTCCCAAGAACTGACACTTCTCACTCTTATCATCGAGTTTTTTCCTGTGTTGATCTGGTATATGTGCATAAGCAACACAACCAAAGATCTTAAAATGAGATACAGAAGGAGGATTACCAGTCCAGAGTTCTTGGGGTGTTTTGCCTTGATTTGCTGTAGTTGGACTTCTGTTCAGCACATGACAAGTCCAGGCCACTGCTTCAGCCCAGAACTCTGATGGAACACTCATATCCTTTAACATACATCGAACCATATTCGTCAAGGTCCTGTTTCTTCTTTCAGCTACACCATTTTGCTGAGGTGTGAAGGCAACAGTAAGTTGTCTTCTTATTCCAGCTTCTTCACAAAGTTGCTTGAGTTCATTTAGCATGAACTCACCACCCCTATCAGTTATTAGAGACTTGATCTCCAAATCCATCTCCTTCTCAACTTGCAGTTTGTATTTTTTGAAACATTCCAAAGTATCTGACTTGGCTACCATGAAAAATACCCACATTTTTCTGCTGTAATCAATCAATCAGTGTGAGTATGTACCTCTTTCCTCCATTTGACACAGGAGTGATAGGGCCACAGAGGTCTGCATGAACCAGTTGTAATGCTTCAGTTGCTCTCCACTGACTTTTCTTGGTAAAGGACTTTCGATGTTGCTTGCCAATCATGCAAGTTTCACAGACTCCAATTCCTCCCTTCAGCTTTGGCAGATCCTTCACAAGTTTCTTTGATTGTAGGAGCTGCAAATTTGCTATTCCCAAATGACCAAACCTGCGATGCCATAGAGTAAGTGTAGTATCTATGACAACATCGGTTTTAAGGCATTGGGAATGCTGATTTGCAGTAGTGTGCTCAGCATGAAGAACAAACATCCTGTTTGTTTTCATTTCAGTTTGTAACAACAATCCCTTTTCTTCATGATAGATTTTGCAGCTGCCTTCTTTGATCACAAATGTCAGTCCTTTCTTCTGCCATTGACCAATACTTAAAAAATTGGTTTTAAGTCCAGGTACATAGAATACCTCCTGGATTGTTATGCTTCTTTGGTTCACTTGCAACCTCACTTCTCCTTTTCCAGCAACCTCCAGCTTTGAATTGTTCCCCAGTCGCACCTTGCAAGCAAAGCTAGCATCCATGCTGGTAAACCACTTCTTGTCACCACTCATGTGGTTACTGCAGCCAGAATCCAGAAACCACCAATCATCACTTGATTTTTCCTTGACTGAATCCAAAAGAGCCATTAACCCTTGTGTTTCTTCTTCCCATTCATTTTCTTCATCAGGTTCCACACAGGCCATCAACAACATATCCTCATTCATGTCTCCATAGCTCTTGTCTTGCTTACTACCAGAAGCTGCATAATGAGCCTGTTGATTGGAATACCACTCAGGGCACTCATATTTGTAATGCCCCAGCTTGTGGCATCTGTAACACTCAACAGACTCCTTGTTCCAGCCTCTGCCTCCTTGACCTCTTCCTCTTCCCTGGTAAAAACCTCTTCCCTGGCCTCCGCCACCTCTCCCATAACCATAATCATGAGAGACTTTTAAAGCCTGCTCCTCTTCACCAGCTGCTTTTGCAGACCTCCTGTTGAATTTTAGCTCATGCACCAAAAGAGAACTTTGTAGTGCATCAACTGTCAAGAGTTCTATGTCTTTGGATTCTTCTATAGAACATACTACATAGTTGAATTTGTCAGTCAATGTTCTAAGAATTTTCTCAACAACTTTTCCATCAGACATGTCCTCTCCACAGTTTCTCATAGTATTGGCAACTATCATTACCCTAGCAAAATACTCAGACACAGACTCATCTTCTTTCATCTCAAGCAGTTCAAAGTTTCTTCTGAGTACCTGCAACTGAGCCTTTTGAACCCTTGCACTGCCTTGAAACTTCTCCTTCATGGACTCTCACAGCTCTCTTGCAGTGCCTTTCTTAGCAATGGTCTTCAGAAAAGTTCTGTCAATGCTGCTGAACAAATAGTTCTTAGCCTTTAGGTCTTTCAACCATAGCTCCTCCAGACTTCTCGTTTGAGCTGGTGTTAGCTCTTCCCCAGCTGCAGGCTCTCTGAAGCCAGGACTGATTACAGTCCAGTACTCCTTGGACCTAAGCAGGTTTTCCATGACCAATGTCCAGTGCTCATAATCCCCATCAAATTTTGGGATACAAACCTAAGCACTACTTCCATTATCACTCATGATGTTTCACTCACCCTGATCTGTCTTTCCTCACAAACAGCTCTCGTGTTTCCCTAATCCCATATCACAAAATGCTTTCACGCAACACTCCTCTCTTCTCTTGGTTACAGTCTGCTCTCAGTGCTCTAATACCACAATGAAGAACACAAAGTGTATTGAAAACTGACGAATTCTTATTGATGACAAAGTGAAGATTAAATAGTTAGGGTTGAGCCACAAAGTTCGGCCTCAAACACCTCCCTCGACTAACAGCTTACCTACTAATCAGCTGCCATGATCTGCACTAACAGCTATCTCCTAACAAACCCAACGGTCAAATTTGACTCTCATAACTAGAGTAAAAAACAATAGGTACCAATTAAACATTTTGCCAAAATGCGCGGATTGGCTTTATTTGACAGACTCAAAACAAAACGGCGTCGCAGCAACTAATCGGCAGAGGTCTTCAGTTCAGCAACAAACGATGTCGTTGTGACTAATTCTCAGAGGCCTTTGGATAGTCCGAATCCGAGAAGGACAAGGACTCCAGCTTCAGTTCACAATCCAACATTGTAACGATCGACTGAGCCATCGGCTTGAACTTAACCTTGTAAACCCACTTGCAATCAACGATCCGCTTACCAGGTGGGGCATGGGCGAGGACCCAGGTACCATTAGCTTCGAGAGCGTCGATTTCGGCTTGCATAGCCTTGCACCAATGCTCAAAGATAACTTCCTGCCAAAAATACGTGGGCTCATACGTAGCCGACATGGTATCCACAAACGCGCGATGCTCCGGAGACAAGCGCTGGTAAGTGACGTAGTTGCTCATGGGATAAACAACTGCATGATGTGCACGAGCAGGCTGACAAGGAAGCTGCACTTCGTAGTCTTGGAGTCGAACAGGACGTTGCACAACGCGTGTGCTGTGACGAGTAGCGAGTTCGGGAGGAGGTGGTGACACCGGTGATGACTGTGAAGAGGGAGACGTGCCACCACTATCAGCACCAGGACTGTTGGAACTAGAGTCGGACGAGGACTGGGAGGACTGATCGATGACAGGAGGAGTCGAAGCGGGGCTGGGCGTCGCATCGCTCGATGGAACAGAAGAGACTGGGCTCTGCGGGTCAGGTGTGCATGGGCTACTAGGAGGATCGGCAGCAGGCGGTGCAGACAATGGATTGACTGTATCATTGTCCTCATCGTACGTGAGAAGCAGAGACTTCCTGAACCATGTCGAAGATACCTAGACTCTCTATACCAAACATGCTAAATTATCACGATTAATCGATTACCACTTGGTGATACTGTACATAATTTTATTATTAGGTCACACATTATGGATCACTTACGTAATAATATTATTTAATAATTACTTAAAATTATAAATACATTACATAAAACTTAAAGAGAGAGAGTTATTTCATATGTATCAATATGTAAGTCTTCCACAATATGGGTTTCAATTAAATTCCTAAATTTTAACTTAATTGTTTGTCATCCCATCAATTTGCATTACAAAAAGGGTTTTCAAGGTCAGTTAGTTTTACATAACAATTTAATAAAAAAATAATTTTCTTAACTTATTTAATTTATTATTAAATACAAATCCATTATTATTATCTATAATATTTATCATCTCTTGAATTTGCATTGTGCAAAGGTTCCATCAGTTTATTTAAATGTACATAATGTTTTAATCAAAGTGAGATTTATTTCAATTTGTAACTTGATGTTATTATTAGACCATGCTACGGAAGATTTATGCAACACTTTTCTATAACAATTACGCAAATTACAAACAAGTTGCATACAACTTATGAAAAGATAGTAATTTCAAATGTATCAATTGAACTTATGTCTTCCATAATAATTAAGATCTTATTTAAAGCTTATACAAATATTTCACCGGACTATTTTATGAATGATTTAATTCAACTAAATCAATAAATGAGTGAATAAAATTTTAAATGTAATTTGTTTCATATCACGGTGAAGCGCGGGCAAAAGAACTAGTTTAACACTTAACAACAAGAACAATAACTCACAAGTTCAAATAATCATAGTTAAATAGCTCATAAAGATCGTGAGATATTGAAACTATTGATATAGATGATTGAGTTTGTAGATGATATTGATTTTCCCGTTCAATATTGATTACCTATAACTCACTTTATTATGCCTAGGCGACACCTAGGTGTCTCCTTACTCCCTGACATGTCATTGACTCCTAGGTCGCCGTGGAACCCATAGGCAAGGCAGTTTGGTGTTGCCTAGTTTCTAAGTGCGCGCCTATGCGTAAGGTTAAACACATTTTCTTGAAATACGAGTAAAGTACTATTTGTGCTTCCAGCTTTAATCATTTCCTTGGCCATCACTACAATCTGTTGAAGATAAGAAGACTAAGAGATTAGCGAGGTTGGTAAAATCTCAGCCATTTTATCATTTGCCTCTAATCTGGTGAAACTAAAAAGAGGGTTTGAAGTATTTGACCCCACGGTGAAACTATAAATACAGACATACAACTGTTAACTTTTCACAGCCGAGCACTTGATCATGAAAGAAGCTCTTCTTCCAAATTCGAATCGTCACCACCACCCTTTCCTTTTCCTGTCAACTTTCTGCTGGTCCTCATCATCACCACCCTTCTGCTGCAAATGCACAACCACTGCTACAGCAATCACACCAGCTGCCACAACCATGTTGCTGATCAGATTGCCAGAGTAATCCTCCATCGTCGCCGCGGTCTCACCGTAAGCCATTTCCTTGCCATAAAGCACAGGATCCCTCACACATTCATACACTTTGATCAGCACCCTCAACACCGTGAACCCAATGTAGTACGAACCGGTCAAGGCCCGTTTACTACCACCATTACTACTACCCTGCAGTTTCCACAAGGCATTCCCAATAACTTGTGGAACAAGAAATAGATCCTGAACGATCCCATCATAGTCAATGCCAAGCCCATCCATCGTCCTTGTTGTCGACATGATTTCTGATCTGGACCGGTGCATTGTTTTCTCCTCGGGGAAGTAGTCATCAGCTGGCTTGAAAGCTTGTTCTGCAGCAGGATTTGTGAGGATGGGGAGCGTTTGTAGGAACAGAATGCAAGCTGCAAGAATGGCTAGAGTGATGAACAGAGCTCTCAAATCCCTCCTGTTTAGAGCTCTACCGTTGTCGCGTGACAATCCACGCGACAGTTTAACTTTGTTCGAGAGCTTTAGAGTGAGCAGCAAGGCAACGAAGAGAAGGATCTTGATCGAAAAGTCGGGTTCAACGTGGGTTCGTGGGTGGGGCGAAACGACCTTCCACGGAAACATTGCTTCTGTGCTGGTCAGGAGCGGAATGCCATAGCCCATAGCTTGGATGCCAAGCGTGACGACGGATACATAAGCTGCAATGTTGGTGGTGGTTTCCATGTAGCTCACCTGTCTGAGTATAAGCACAACTGCAGATGTCAGCATCAGTACATGAAGCGTTGTCTCGAATGTGGCTCGGTACCTCATGTCATCGTGTTCATTCATATAAGGAATGGGATGTGTTGTTAAACTGATTGAAGGGAAGTAGAATGGATCTGAACTGTCTCTTCTGCTGTGGATTGAGATTCTAGCCTTGGGATTCAGCATCCACCTTGTGTTTGTAGAGGGATACTCCACTCTGATCTCATATTCACAATCCATCCCTTCTTCAATGCTGCTGACATTTCTAATGTCTCTGCAGCCAACTAGATGCATCTCTCCAGTGAGTTTGTTGTAGATACCTTCGAAGGAGAGCGAGATGCTGTTCGAAGCCTCGAGTTTGAGAAGCCCAGAAACTTCAATCGTGTCGTCTTCTTCTTCTTCTTCTTTGTGAACCCTCTGGTGGTTCCTTTGTTGATCGTCGCCACGAACGTATGAGCCTAAAGAGAGAATCTCTAGCTCAACAGAAGCCTTCATTAGTTTCTTCTCGTGGACGGCTCCTACATTGATTGTAAACTCCTCTGCTAGCTGAGCCAAGGTGGAGACTCCATTTCTACCCAAGGATGGGTATTTAAGGAGAGAAACCCCTAAATCAGGAAAGGAAGTCCTACTACCTGTCCTTCTCTCGAAAGCCCTTGCTTGCATAATAACAAGTTCCGAGTATTTGTATGACTGTTTCATGTAGTGCCTGTAAGAAAGCTCGCTAGGACGGATTACCTTTTCAAACAGCAGAGCAGGGAACTCAGTCTCACTATCTCCAGTATTGCTTGAGACTGAAGCAAAGAGGAGCCTTCTCTCCTTGATGGAGAGCTCGAGAGGGATCGACAAGCATACCCTCGAGTCACACGATCTGCTAGTAGAGGAATTACGATGTTTAGTGTTGCTTCCTACACAAGCAACCATGCAAAGCTCTTGACCACTTCTCCATATCCCTTCTGCAGAAAGTGTCATGGTGGATAGTCCAGTTCTTCCTCTACTAGTACCGAATCTATCCGAAGAAGGGACAATTCTCAACACAGCAGCCACTTTAGCAGCTTTCACGTTCCCATCATCATGTTGTTGACATTGCACATGATGGATGAGGAGCCCTAGTGGTGCATTACTAGCCATACTGCTGCTCTCGAGGACGAATGGCCCGAGCTTGCTGCTGCTGCTTTGATTCATGCTCGATCCTGTCGATTGTACTACCAAGTCCAGAATCTCATTGTTTAGCATGTCTTTTAGAGTGTGACAGAAACCATCTCCTTCATACAACTTGACCTTGTCCCGATTCGAGTTCGAGCTGCAAACTTCTGATAAAAGTTGTTCATCAGCCGAGAATTGATACTTAGAAGTAGTGCTGCTCAATTGAGAAGAAATGTAAACCTTATCAAAGTAATTCCCTTTATCTTTGTTCCCAAAGCTCATCATTTCACCAAAAACACCCCTGCTACTAAAGGTGAACACCTTTGGATACCTCAAAACCAGCATAATCTGATCATTCTGAACCAAAGGAACCTGCTGATTTTTCTCTCCCTCGCAGTTACATCCTCGAGATTTGCGACGATAAGCAAGATCGGTATTCAATCCGTTCATGAAAGGGGAAGAAGGCATTGATGTGTTACCAAGAAAGCACATTACCCTTTCTCCATTCACTTCAAAGTAGACCCCTTCAAGATGAACAGAAAAGCCATCAGACCCCATTGAAGACCTTCCGAAGCCACCATCATCAGACTGAGCCCTGTACCGGAATCCAGGACCATCCGTCAGGGACAGCACCAGCCTCCCACTGACACTGACCATGTCGTTGGACCGACGGACCGAATCGACATCCGTGACCTGGAAAGAAGCCAACCTGAACAGAGAAGTGGATAGTGGATCATGATGAGCAGATAATTGTGGCAATGGTGAACCACCATCGGATTCCTGAACCCAATCTCCACTAACGAACGACAGCTCGTTCCTAATCCTGCTGCCTCTGTTGTCATCAGAAGCCAGTGGAGAAAGCAGCGGCGGCGATGATGTTGGGAGGAGAGTGCTGCTGCTGCTTCTGCCGACACCATCACCACACCTGTGTTGAATCTCGGTGAACCTGTTGTATGTGTATGTTGTAGTTAGGGAGGGGTTATAATGATCGGATGGAGAGTCGAATTCGTTAGACCAGGAAACGGTGAAGGTTGAGAAGCAGAGAGGCAACACTAGTGTGGTCATCAATTTCAGCCATAGATGATGAAGCTTCAGTGGTGGTGGAGTGTTCATAGCTGAAAGCTAAAAAAAGTGGGGTATTTTTGTTTTTGTTTTGTTTGTCCAAGATGGGAAGAAGTCGAGACAAGATCGTCAATGGAGGTGATGAGTTGAACATGGAAAACCCACTTTTTTTTTTTTAAGTAGAGGATGATGCGTTGACTATGGAGGAAGCAACCAGGAAGCAGGTTGAAGCTAGCTAGTTAGCCGGTAATCAAGGCTTTTCGTGATCTTGTGATCACGTTAATTACATTATCCGAGGTTTGTCAGATCTCAGAAGCTAAAATTAATCTTGTAATCTGCGTTTTCTGACTTTTTTTTTTTAACTCGTTGTTGGTTAGAATAAAAGCACTGAGTTGGTTATGTACTTCTTGAGATCATTGACTTCATGAGGGCAGTATACATGTGACAATCTGCAGGAGCCGATTAGTACTAAGCATTGGTTGATGAACACTTGCTGATGACGATGGTGATGAATAAAATGGTGAATCATCCATGACTAAGATTGATGAATGCGTTAGTAACTTGTATATGATGCATAATTGAATCTCTTTCAACAACTCAAGTTATTGAAATTAACTGGTTCCTGACATGGTATCACAGCATTCTGCGGTTGAGAGGTTTTATTCGAATCCCAATGACCTCATTTGTTCTCTTAAGCACATGGTATCCGAATCTGTGCAAACTTCAAACCTATATATAAGAGTGACTTTCATTTGTCGGGATGTGTGCATAGATTTGGCTTCTTCTGATTGGGAAACCATACTTGAAGTTATACTGAAAAGATTAAACAATGAGATCATGGATTCAAAATTTCGATCCGGCTAATCTATACGATAGAGTTTCTACAACATTGCTGGTAAGTTGTTACCCATCTATATATTATTTTTTAGTGATGCATTTTTTTTTTTTTTGCCATAGATATTCCCCCAAAGGAGAACAGCAGATACGAAGTATATAACAATATACATGGCCTTTGCAGGTCAAATCACAAATTAAAAATGAAAAGACCTTTGCAGGTCTAACAAAATAGGCCTTTCCTGCCACGATATGGGCTACCCTATGATACCTGAACGGCATGGGCAATATTATGATTTCTTCCCCTTAAAAGGATCAAAATCATGAACTAACCATGTTGAAAATTGAAGCAGAGCAGCAAACCCTTGTAAATCTGGCATCAGTTCAGCACAAAAGCCCGTAAAGCCTCCACCGAATATACCACTAATCCTGCAAAACCAAAACAAACACAGCCACCACTGTGTCGCTAAACCTCTATCTTGCAGAGGTTCATCTGGGAAATGTTCATTAATCATGGAATAAAATGTCTTAACCAAACCGTCCAAATTAACATGAAAACCAAATTAACCAAATCAAAATTTAATTGGTTTGGTTAATCGGATTAACCAAATAACCTTACATTACATGAAAATAATAATTATTAGAAATATTAAAACGTAAGTAACCAAAAACAGGAACACTGTTCCTTACGAAAAAAACGCTAACCACCACAGGTTTAATAATAATAAATAAATAAATAAAAACACTAACCACTGCGTAATTAAGAAGAGTTTTCCGGATCACTGTTCATCCGGGGTGATTTTCCCATGCAGCAGACCCATGTTATCTCCCATTAACCCGCGCGCGGCAAACCAAGTAATTATATTCTTAAATTTCGTCCGACCGACAACCCAAGAAATAGACCTTTGAATTTAACCATCCCCCGAACCCACCAATTCGTCTGCCCTCTCTCCATCAATATTCCATTTTAACTTATGCAAATAAGAGAAATAAAAAGAAGCCTCTCCTAGAGTATGATTTCCCTTTAGTCCAAATCCGTAATTGCTATAGAGAATTGAGAGAAGTTTTTTTTTTTTTGGTTGAATTACTCTTTTCAATTTTCATCAAATTATCAATTTTGTAAGGTAAGTTAACTTTTTCACATCATCAAATTATAACTCAAAATTGTACCATAACATTAAATGTATAAGTTTAAGTTGTACCATAAAACAATTTGTATCATTATGTTATGTGTTATAAACGCGCTGCTACGGATCGGGAAATCGCCGGAATCGACAAAGCAAGAATACGAAAGCGAGAATCGAAAGAACACAGACACACGATTTACGTGGTTCACTAACACGATGTGTGTTAGCTAGTCCACGGGCGAGAGAGAGCCAGTTTCACTATATCGAGGAGATTACAGATTACAGAGGAGTATGAGAAGTATTTATAGTACTTCTCCATGTGGGTCTAAACCTAATCCAATCTAGCAAAGGAAACGGTTACAGACCAGGCCCAAAACCCGAACCCAAATAACATTGAGCCCATACACCGTGGGCCGGGGGCGTTGCCCCCGCACCCCCACCGGGGCGTTGCCCCTGGACCCCAACAGCGAGACCCCCGGTTACCAGTCGTAGCGGCTGATAATCCGATTCAAGTCATATCAACAAATCTCCACCTTGACTTGAATCCTCTTCCTCTGAAATCTCTGATGTACTCTGCTCCTTCTCTCTCTCCTGCCATCAATGCCCCGTAGGGCGGAGTCACCCACTCAAGACATTCAGCAAGTCCAAGCAGTGTTGGAACTTGCCATGTGGAACCGGCTTCGTGAACATATCAGCAGGATTATCCGCGGTGCCAACCTTCTTCACCTTAATCCTCTTCTCTGTCCTCAAGAAATGATACCTCACATCGATGTGCTTAGTCCTCTCATGGTGGACTTGATCCTTGGCCAAGCATATTGCACTCAAACTATCGCAATACACCACTGCCTGATCATGATGTAGACCAAGATCACCAACCAGTCCCTTCAACCATATTCCCTCCTTAGCAGCTTCTGTCAACGCCATATACTCTGCCTCAGTAGTAGACAATGTCACCGCCGACTGCAAAGTTGCCTTCCAGCTCACTACAGAACTCCCAAGAGTGAATACATAACCGGTCATCGATCTCCTCGTGTCAACATCTCCAGCATAGTCCGAGTCAGAATACCCAGACACCAAGCACTCTGTATCACTTCCGAAGCTAATCCCCACATCAGGTGTACCCTTAAGGTACCGGAAGATCCTCTTCACAGCCTGCCAATGCTCCTTCCCAGGTTGTATCATAAACCTGCTGACAACACTAACAGCATGTGCAAGATCAGGTCTAGTGCATACCATAGCGTACATCAAGCTACCTACTGCACTAGCATATGGGACTCTCGACATGTACTCCTTCTCAGCCTCTGACTGCGGTGCATAAGCCGAGGATAGATGAACATTTGAAGCACTAGGAGTATTTAAGGGCTTTGCTGAAGACATGCCAAACCTCGACAGTATCTTCTGGATGTAGCTCTTCTGTGACAAGAAAAGCTTCTTCTTCGACCTGTCCCTGTAAATCTCCATACCCAAGATCTTCTGAGCAGCTCCCAAATCCTTCATCTCAAACTCGGCACTGAGAAGCCCCTTTAACTTCTGGATATCAGACTTTGACCTCGCAGCTATGAGCATATCATCCACATACAGAACTAGATATATCATCGAACCATCCTCTGCCTTGTTGTGATATACACAACAATCATATGGACTTCTGCTGTAGCCCAGCTCAAGCATATAACTGTCAAATCTCTTGTACCACTGCCTCGGAGATTGCTTAAGTCCATACAAGGACTTCTTCAGCTTACAAACATAGTCTTCTTTTCCCGGAACCTCGAATCCTTCTGGTTGAGTCATGTAAATTTCTTCCTCCAACTCTCCATGTAGGAAATTTGTCTTCACGTCTAGCTGCTCGAGCTCCAAGTCATAATGTGCCACTATTGCTAGTAGCACTCTGATCGAAGTATGTCTGACAACTGGTGAGAAAATCTCATTGTAGTCAACTCCTTCCCTCTGCGAGAAGCCTCGTGCAACCACCCGAGCTTTAAATTTCATGCCCTCTTTAGAAGTGATTCCTTCCTTCTTCTTGTAGATCCACTTGTTTGTAACAATCTTCCTTCCCTGTGGTCGTTTGACTAGCTCCCAAGTCTGATTCCTGTCATGGGATTCCATCTCATCTCCCATTGCGGCAAGCCACTGATCAGCTTCACCACCCGAAACTGCTTCTCTGTAGGACTGTGGCTCTCCTGCATCCACTTCTTCAGCAACCTGAAATGAATACGCCACCATGTCCTCGAAGCCATACCTCTGTGGAGGTACTCCTGCAGTCGCTCTCTTCGGTCTACCGGAAGCCATAGACTGTTGAGCTCGTGCACTGGACTCTGAACTTCCTGGCTCTGCAGAGACATCCTCATCATGTTGATCTTCTCCACCTTGGTGCTCAAACTCACTCTCATTGAGAGTTTGCAGCTCCACCTGTTTATCAACATTCCTGCTACCTTCAACAACAGTAACCTTCAACATGGGGTTAAACATAGACTTCTCATCAAATATCACATTTCTACTAAGTATAACTCGATGCTCAGAAGGTGACCAGACTCGAAATCCCTTAACTCCATCTCCGTAACCCACAAATACACCCTTCTTTGCCCTTGGGTTCAGCTTACCCTCATCCACATGATAATAAACAGGACACCCAAAAACTTTCAGTGAAGAGTAATCAGCAGGCTTACCATACCACACCTCATAAGGAGTCTTACACTCGATACCTGTGTGAGGTCCACGGTTGATCAGGAAGCATGCCATGTTTACTGCTTCTGCCCAGAATCTTCTCTCTAGTCCAGCATTAGAGAGCATGCACCGTGCTCTCTCCAACAATGTCTGGTTCATTCTTTCTGCAACGCCATTCTGCTGAGGTGTATCTCTAACAGTCCAATGACGGGCAATCCCTTCATCCTTGCAGAATTCGTTGAACTCAGAACTGCAGAACTCCAGACCATTGTCCGTTCGCAGCTTCTTGATCTTCTTCCCGGTCTGATTACAGATTATATCGAGGAGATTACAGATTACAGAGGAGTATGAGAAGTATTTATAGTACTTCTCCATGTGGGTCTAAACCTAATCCAATCTAGCAAAGGAAACGGTTACAGACCAGGCCCAGAACCCGAACCCAAATAACATTGAGCCCATACACCCCCGGTTACCAGTCGTAGCGGCTGATAATCCGATTCAAGTCATATCAACATTATGATACAACTTTACAACTAGAAGTTGCATCATCACATAAAGGTACAAGTTCAAGTTGTACCATAAAAGAATTTGTACAAAAAGTATAGGTACGATATGAAGTTGTACCATAACGTAAATGTACAATTTTAAGTTGTACCATTAAGGCAAAAACCTATAGTACCAACACTATATAGCATTGTAAAATTTCTCCACAAACTTTTTGTAAGGTAAGTTAATTTTTTCATTGTAGTTTAATCACATGTAATATTTTCTATAACTTGATTTTATTATCAGATCGCACACTGCGAAAGATTTACGTATAACCATTTGATGACATTGTAGTTTAATCAGATGTAATATTTTCTATAACTTGATTTATTATCAGACCGCACACTGCAAAAGATTTACGTATAACCATTTGATGACAATTACGTACATTATAAATAGATTACGTAAATCTTACAGAGGGTAGTCCTTATGTATCAATTAAACCAACATATAATGTAAGTCTTTCGTGATATAAATTTGAATGAAAATTCCTAAATTTAACTAAATTATTGATGATCTAATCAATTTGCATTATGCAAAGAATTTGGAAGGTTAGTTTCATCAAATGTACTTTTCATCACTCCATGCCCTTATTATTAACTACATTATTTTATTATTACCTACTATATTCAACGTCTCATCAATTTGCTTTATGCTGATTAAAGTTTCAGTAAGATAAGTTAACCTTACATCATAGTTTAATCAAATGTGAGACTCATCTGTAACTTGATTTAAATATTAGATCACATGTTACGAAAGAATGTAAGATCATTCTATAACAATTACGTAAAGCTTACATAGGGTTAGTTATTCCTTATGTATCCATTAAAAAAATATACACACAAGGCTTTTATAATGACTAAGACAATACGTAACCTTTATTGAGGAATAATAATTTCTTATTTATCAATTAAACAAACATATTATGCATGTCTTTCATGATATAAGTTTGAATGGAAATTCATAAATTTAACTAAACCGTTGACGATCTCATCACTTTGTATTGAATAAATATTTTCTAAGGTCAATTATTTTTACTTAAAAGCTTCATCAAATGCATTTTCATAACTTAATTCACTTATTATTAACTAAAATTATTTTTTTATTATTATTACCTACTACCTTCAACAACTCATCAATTTGCTTTACGCAAATTAAAGCTTCCCTAAGATAATCAAATATGAGATATGAAGGTTGAATGGATAGTTGTTTCTTACATATTAGTCAAATAACCATGTTAGGTAAGCCTTTGGTAACAATTAAGACACTATATAAATTGGGTTAATTGCATTGTTGGTCACTGAGATTACAAAAAACGTTCATGTTTGGTCACTCGAAATATTTAAATCCATTTATGGTCACTACATTTAGTAAAACAATCCAAATTTGGTCACTCTCCGTCCAACTCCGTTAACTTTAGCTGATGTGGCAGTCAACTCTCATAGTTGACCGTTAAGTCTGTGATGTGGCAATTAAAAATTAATAAAAAAATTAATTTTAAATATTCCACCTCATTATCACTACTATTAAAATAAAAAATAAAAAATTATTCATTTTAAATACCTAATGAACTCACCCCTTTTTCTCACCGTTGACGGAAGAGGGCGTCGACCGAAGTAGAGGGAGTTTTTTTTTTAAAATTCGTACAGGTCTATCTACAGAGATTACCGGCCGGTCAGAGTTCGCCGTCGTCGGGAGAACTGGAAGAAGAAGACACGATCAACTGAATCTGCTCCAAAAAGCTCAGATTCAGGGGTCGATCTTTCCTCCTCACATAACCCCTCGCCTCTTCCTCACCGTACACCCAATACCCTCTCTTCCCGCACCTCTCCCACATCTCCCCCGCGTAGCTTCTCTCCGCGAAATACGCCTCCACAGAAGCGAGGGTTTCCTCTCCTCCGCCGCTAGTCAATGGGCTCCACTTTGATCGGCAACCGCTCGTAGTGGACGCGCGTCTTACCCTCGAGCGAGTCTTGTCGAGCGAGTCCTCGGGGCAGACGGCGTACAGCTCGCTGGCGACTCAGTCGGAGCTGGCGGCGCCGAGGAGGTCGAGGAGGGAAGGGACACGATAGGGCCTAGAGATGAGTGGGTAGGGTTCGACGGTGTGGCAATCGCATCGGAAGGTCGCATACCCTGTGCCAAGAACAACTCATCTCTAATGCTCTCTCTCTCTCTCTCTCAACGACGATTCTGCTGCTTCTGAATGTCGGAGTTTGGAAATGGCGAATTGTGCTTTCTCGGTGCTTGGATTGGGCGAGGCGGAAAAATTAGGGATTCGGCGGATGGACGCTGCTGTGCTGCCGAAATTGAGGTCTGTTCAGGTGAGGAGTGTGTGGATGAGGAATTGGGGCTTCCCAGCCATAGCTTTATCTCTCTGTCTTCACTTCTTCAGGCTTCAAATCCCCCACACGGCCTGGGGTTTGGCGGATGCTGATTGGTTCATTTGTATCGTGTCTAAGTTCTTAACATGAGTCATGTACTGATGAACCAGGAAGGATGCAATCGATACGGGCTTGGACACTACTTCCTTCAAACAAAAGTTCAGGCCCCAAGTAGTGAGAAAGAGGGGTGAGATTAGTTCATTAGGTATTTAAAATTAATAAATTTTTAATTTTTAATTTTTAATAGTAGTGATAATGAGGTGGAATATTTAAAATTAATTTTTATTAATTTTTAATTGCCACGTCACAGATTTAACGGTCAACTATGAGAGTTGACTGCCACATCAGCCAAAGTTAACGGAATTGGACGGAGAGTGACCAAATTTGGATTGTTTTACTAAATGTAGTGACCATGGATGGATTTAAATATTTCGAGTGACCAAACATGAACGTTTTTTGTAATTTCAGTGACCAACAATGCAATTAACCCTATATAAATTTATAAAAGTGTATTAATCGAACTATTTTATAGATAGTTTTATAACCCAAAAAATAATTAATTAATTATCGCTGCGAAGCGCGGGCCAAAAAGCTAGTTATTCTATTAATGAATAAAACATAACCATATGTTGTTACTATCATAAACTATCATTATATATAAGCAATAATAATAATATCTTAACCATCCATGATTATCATCATCATTCGAGTTAATACATCATTCATCATCTCAGCACCTAATATTAGTTGGCTTACAACAAAACTCTTAACATAAATACATACCAATACCCCTCATCGGAAAGTTAAAGCTCTCCTACAAAATAATTAAACTATATATAGTTTGAGATGCCTGTCATGGTATTAATTGTACGTAATCCTAAAGTCTAGTAGTTGTCCAAAATGTTTTGGCTTAGTAAATAGGCAGGCCCATTTAATTTTTGACCCATAATGTTTTGATTAGTTGTGCACATGGACATAAAATAGGGAATCACGAAAGTTTGGTTTAGTTGGTTGCATGGAAGTAAAAATAATTTTGTATATTAGGTGTATCAATAATTGGCTAATTGGTTTCATTGGTTAACAATGTTGAAACCAAACCAAACCATCTAAACCAAATAAGATATATTGTTTAACCAAACCAAACCAATTATCCAAATTAACCAAACCAAATTAACCGAATGCTACCGATTAATATGGATACCACGGTAACCAATCCGTTTGAACACCCCTAATTCCATTAGCTCGAAAATTCACTATCAGAGTCCAAAGTGGTATTGGATTTTACGAGCATGAACTGGTTTAATCATGATTTAACTACGAAATACTCTATTGGGCTATAATTGACTCATCTAGTAAATTATTTTTTTATAATTTTACAATTCTTATATACAACAGGAGATAATTCCATGATTTTGCAAAATGGGTAGTGATGGGGAAGATTTCTAATTACGTGTGGAATATTGAAGAGATGCTCTTATCTTCTCTGAGAAGAACCTTAGAAAGAAATGTACTTTCCAATTGACAAATATGATAACAACAGGTCAAACACAGCATTGCACTCCGAAAGACCATACATACATGCAATAATAAAAAAAACACCATTTAAATTCGTGGCTTCATAGACACTACTCCAAACTTTGCCTTTCCTTTTGCATGGAATTCCATCTTTTAGGTTAGAGGCCGACCGAAGTGATTCCAAATTTCATTCTCCACAAGGATTAAAAGGTTTGGGGTATAAGGTGACATTTTACACGGATTTTGAGTACATGGACCAAGGAAGTATTTGGGATATGTGTTTGGAGTTTGGGGTGACCGTTAACTATCTGTGTGTTAGGAGTTTGCAAGACTAGATTGATGATAATATTTCGATTCGTGCATACAGATTTAACATTGAATTTGGTAGAATTCATTTGCATATTCGTTAATGGCGGAAGCTTATTGTGGTTGCACATTGCACGTGCCTATTGTTATTGCACACTTGTGCATCGGTTAAGCATAGTATCGGAGGTTTTCAGGTTTCCATCGCATATTCGCATGTAAAAAATTCTGATTCATATCAAGAATCGGTTGGACGTCTTTTACTCACTCAAATTATTAAAAAAGACGTTCAATATTAAGTCTTATATCATTCATTAACCCGAGTAATAAAATATACATATGACTCATTCCCCATGAATTGAAGTATCTGTTGGCCTTGACTCTTGAGTTGCTGGAGAATCAAGACCGCAATAAAGAAGAAATCAAAAGGAACCCAAAAAGGCTGAAAGAAGAACATATACACATTTTTCTCTGTATTAAGATAAACATGCCAAAGAATCCAAATAATGCTAATACAAATCCACTACAGCTAGCAAGCAATCAAATCACCAAGAGAAACCCTAAACAAAAAGCTATTGATTCTTCAGGTATAAAGGGCAAAGAAGAAGAAGAAGAAGAAGAAAGAAAGAAAAGAATCCATTTCATAGTTATTAAGCGGGTGAATTACCCAAAAGGGAATTCAATTGAAGAATCAGTGTCTCATGATCATCCAATCAAAAGGAACATTGGTGACTTGAATTCATGTATTTTAAACAGCTAGAATTCCAATTTGGTGATTCTTCAGGAGAAGCCTTACACCCGTAAATGTACCCATCATGAGCAAAACTTTTATTGATACAAGAATATTTGGCATATAATATTTATGCAAACATAAAAGCCATTAGTTCCCCCTTTCTCATCGCCTCTTCCCATCTTTTAAATAATTGATGGAATTCATTCTGTGTGTGAGCTGAAATTCGGATTTTGAATTCTCTAGGGTAGGGGGAAGTCGTCTTTGAATTTAGCTAGAGATGCATTGGCTAGATAATTGGATTCTGTTTGTGTTCATTCTAGTATGGTTCGAGATTTTATTTTTAGATAATTGTTGATTCCAATATTCGAACTTAGCGTGGGGTAAATGTTCTCATATTCACATTATTACTACTAGAGCAACCTCTTAAGATTCAACTAACATGCTTTACTAATAAGCTTAAAAGAGTATTTCATGCTTATCTAGTGAAATATAACTTTGATCATACAATTATTTTGTTTTTTTTGTGTGTGCGAAAACAGAGTGCTACGGACACCCTAACCGTTAATCATTAATCATTAATCAGACGAGAAGTTATCATACAATCATTTTGTCTCATGGGGATTTCGATATCCTCCAAAGAAAAAGAACCTTCATAGACATTAAAAATAATAATAATAATAATAATAATAATAATAATAATAATAAAGTGCTATTACCAAGCACCTCTTGACCTCTTCTATCCCCTTAATTTTCTCCTATGAGTAACCATTGCTTGACACCAATTTGTGTCAACATAATAAAATCTTACTCATTCATAAAAAATAAAAAAATATTATCATAAGTCTATGGGCTCACACTACAATTAGTTAAAGCACTTTCTTTGTGTGGTGCAAATGATTGAGAACCGTATTGGAAATTATACCAGAAAATTTAGTGATAAATTATTTTATACAAAAATCATTGTTCAAGTGTTTTGTACCGCTAAAATTGCCTATCGGCTGGGGTTTGGTATTGGACATTTCCAATCAGATCAACCGGTACCGTATGGTTTCTAAAACATTGGTGTGGTGTAAATAACATGGTGTTAAATATGAAAAGCATTAAGAATCTTTAACTAATAGCCAATTAGTTCCAGTTCTCTATTTTTTTTTAGTTGAATATTAAAAAAAATATTAATTATCCAACTTCAAGTTGGGCCAACTTTGATTTGTCACTCCTATTTTTTGAAAGTATCTTCCTTTTGTAAATGCATGGGGTAAGGAATATATATGGGCGATGTGTGTAGGTGAAGCCCAATATTTGAGTTGAGATGCATAAGAAAAGGAGAGAAAAGGGTCAATTAAGGGAGAAAAAAGGGGAAAATTGTTGGAAGAGGGAATAAAATTTGTGCTTGCTACTAGGGATGAAATATAGCCACTGAATTTTTGCAGGGCATCTAGCTTGCTTCTGATAAAGTTTCAACATGGGAGGCATGGTTGGTTGATACCACCACGACCTAACTTAATTCAATTGTATATACACTGAGATATTCATTCAAAGATGTTACTAGCTAGTGTATAGATAGTAGGGACCTGAGTGCCACTTTTCATAAATTAAGAGACCAAAAATGTTTATGTCACCAAATGTCGCGTACTTAGATGATGGTTTATACGGTGATAATGCGTGGTTGGCGTGTGACTATCAGTATCGATATACTTTCACGCTTCTATGTGACTGAAATGAATGAGATTTCGAGAAAAATCATTTGATGTACAAAAGCATGTGAAATAGCTTGTAGAAGGGTATACATTCGCATAAAAAGTATGATTGTATGCGATTTTGTAGGCTTTCATGTGCAACAATGGCAAAACCCTTGACAACCACCCTAGCCATCAACATCGCCGTCAGCAAATGGTGATTACTGACGGCAATGGAGGTGGTATATGTGTTGGTACTGAGATCATGATGACGATGATTTGGATGCACATGTTGATGTCAATGCACTAATTTAGTTTCATTTCATGATTCAGAACCTTCACATGCTTTTGATTTCAAAATTATGTGTTATAATTTGTGTCATTGTGCACATAACTTTGA